AATGCATTTGTTTGTGCTACTTTGGTTTTCTGTCATATGCAGCTGAACCTAAATTTAATTCATGGGCACTTCAAATCTCTGTGGGAACTTAAAGGGCATTTTCACACTTTACCTTCTATGCTGTGATACGATAGTGCTTTCATTCGTTATGATTGTTTTTTATAATAGAAATATATTCATGTCTTGTTTATATACACATCTGTTTCTGGAGCCCCAGAGAACTCAACTTGAGTGACAGCTCCACCACTTCCTAGCTACGTGACCTTGGGCTGTCAATTTTTCTGAGGCTGTTTCTTTCTGTAAATGGGCACAATAATAATAAAACTTACCTCAGCGGGTTATTGTGGAGCTTACATGAGCTAATGCAGATAAAATCCTTGGCCCCGTGTCTGCCTTACAGGTGTCACTGCCCTATATTATGCTGCCTCACAGGCACTGGTAGTGGCAGACCCAATTAGAAAAACCTAGAACATGTTGTTGAGTAAAAAAAAAAAAAAATTGGCACTAGTATGATCCCTTTTGTGAAAAATTATTTTTATTTCTCCATCTAGATGTATATATCCATGTACCAGGTGTCTAAAGGGATGGTCCAAATGTTAGTAGTGGTAATTTCTGGATAGTAGAATTTTTGCTTTCTTCTATACAGCTGAGAAAGAGCATTATTATCCTGGGAGCACAAAAAGGAAAAAAAAAAAGCCTTTGTAAAACAATATAACAAATTGCACCAAGAATCATTAGTCATGCCCTTTGACCTGGCTGTCTCCCTCTTGGAAACTGACCTGAGGAAGTCATTCCAATGAAGGAAGAGACTGTGGCTGTGAAAGCAGGTACTGCAGCATTACTTACAAAGGAGGAAAACAGGTAACCACCTAAGTGACTTACGTCAGGGCAGAAATTATTAAATTATTCATTCGTTGGAATATTGTGCAACAATTAAAATGAGAGCGATGACCGTGAACAACAGGGGGAAATGCCAGTGACGAAGGAGAAGCAAAGGGGCAGGAGGAGAAAAAGGACATCTCTGCCAGGACCACCATCCGGCATGATCTCCCGCGCATTCAAGCCAGGACTGGAAGAAATGGGCACATAAAAACAGTTGAATTTGTTGGGGCCACTGATGGAGGGTGATTTTTTTCTTTTTCATTTAGAAGTCTAATGTTTCTATAATGTTGTTTGTGTAATAAAAAAAGAATTGGTTTTTTAAAATCCCCTCTGGGAAAGGAGGCAAGCAGAGAGAGGAAGATAAGAGGTATTCTCCAGATGGGGGGTCTGGAAGAGAGACATTCAGATGTAATCTAAAATGCACAAACAGTTCCTACCTCAGTGGCCCCAGAGGGGGCGTCCTTTGTCCTCTAACTTGAGCATCATCAGATGGACAAAATTAGGAAGCCAGAAGTTTAGCTGAAAACAGAGCTGGGGCTCAGAGTGCTCTTCAGATTGGAATCATTTGGAAAACTGATCAAGTGTGCCATTGACGCAATTGTGAAGACATGCAACGCGCTCCATATATGGCAGGTGTGTGTCCCAGGTGGGCTTCCTGGAAGCTAGTTTAGCCTGGTGAATCCAAACAAAGGATATGTGGACTCTCAGTCAGCAATCCCACTTCTTGCAATTTATCCCAAACCTAAGAAAACGATCAAGCTACTGCATGAAACTATTTACATAAGAGGTTTATCACAGAGTTTATAAAAATAAAAAATTAAAACCTGATTCACCAAAAAGGAATTGGTAAATAAATTTTGGCATAACCGTGTAGTGGTACATATTTGACATGGAAAGATGCTCCCTTTAGGAGAGCAGATGAGGTAGAATGAGAAAGCTCCAAAGCAAGATGCATATTAGCCCATTTTTTAAGACTGTCAATCTTCATTTGCATGTAAGAATGTCTAGTAAGACATATATCAGAATCCTAATAGCAGTTAGCTTTGAATGGTAGGATTATAAATAGTATCAGCCAATTTATTTATTTATTTAAAGATTTATTTATTTATTCATATAAGACCAGGGGTATAGGCCAGAGGTGCGGGGGCGGGGGTGAGAGGATTCACCAGAGACAGAGTGGGGAACAGAACAGGCAGACTGACTGGAGCACACTGCTGAGGGGAGCAGTGGGCGAGTCAGGAGAGGTCTGATGCACCATGTGGGTTGCTCCCTGGCCGGCTGGGGATCGAACTCGTGCTGCACAGGCTGCGGATTGCTTCATAGGTTGCATCTTAACTTCTTGCGCCACCAGGGAGGCCCCTCAGCCAATTTAATCTCAATTACTTTGCAGTAACAGCCCCCAAATCTACCAGCTTACAACATGTGAATTTCTCACTTGTGTTCACATCTGTTGTGGTCACATGTTTCTCTGCCTAAGATCTTCTTTGCTCTGGGACCCAGGCTGAAGGTTTCTATCTGAACATTGTGAGTCCTGGAAGCAGAGGGAGAAGTCACTGGCTCTTACAATCAGGGCTGCGCAAGTCACAGCCCGTCCCAGGTAATATGTCTCTCTCTACAAAATCCCCCTCAGGCCCTCAGAGAGGGACACTCAGGAGGGCTAGAAAACAATAATATATATTGAACAATACATAGAACAATGTATCCTTAACAATATATAATCCACCACACAACTTATTTCTTCCTTGTTTTAGTCCATTCAAGCTGCTACAACAAAAATACCATTGACTGGATGGCTTAAACAATAAAGATTTATTTCTCACAGTTCTAGAACTAACAAGTCTGACAAGGTCCCAGTAGATTCGGTATCTGACAAGGATCCACTTCGGGGCCAGAGACATGCTTCCTCTCCATCTCCTCCCATGATGAAGGGACAGGGGGCTTTCTGGGGTTTCTTTTATGAGGGCACTAATCCCATTCATGAGGGTGGAGCCCTCATGACTTAGTCACCCTTGGAACCCACCTTCTAATACCACCACCTTGGGGATTACCTTCTCACCTAAGAATGCTGGGCTGGAGGGGAGGGCCACAACATCTAGTCTATAGCCTTCCATTTCCTTTGCAGTACACAGGCCTGCCCCAGGAAGTGGGTGGCCTCATGGAGACAGCACATGTGGCTTCTCCTCGTTAGTCTCTTCAGGAGGGAAGATACACAAGCCACCCAGCATCAGGTGGTGATGGTGGCTTCAAGCCTGAGCCAGAGAGGACAGAAAGAGGTCAGGAATTGGCCTAATCTAAGAGACAGGTTACCTGACCTGGATTCCTGGTAAATTAAGTATAAAATGCTGTAACAGAATGTTCTGGGTATCCAGAGTGTCAAGTCTGCAACTTACTACATAGATGACTTGAGTCAAGAATGGTTGAATGTCCCCATATATAAAATGGAAACTATTTTATATATATAAAAAACTGCCGGCCTACGTCACACTGATTGGGTGGGGGGATGGGTATTTAATCACAGGGCTTTAAAATTGTCAGAGCTCTTGCACACAAGTTGTAACCATACACTCACATGAATTACATGTCCCCAACTCCTCTTATCTCCTGTCACCAGTGTAGCTTATTGACCCTTTTAATGGTGTCCGTGTGCTTTACAGTAGGGTGGGGAAAGGACTACATCCAATGTCAGTGGAACCTTGACACTAAACCTCCCTTTGCCTAACCCCAGAAAGCGCAGGATGCACAGGGAAGGACCCCACTCCACTTTGTCAGGTCTGGAAGTAGCCATGTGCTCCTGGCACTGGCCTCTCAGGCTAGAAGGCAGGAGATGACAGGGCTTCCCAAAGTACAGTCATTAAGGAAGCATTTAAAAACTAGATTCCTGGGCTCCACCTCCCTGGGATTCTGATTCACCTGGCAAGGGTGGGGCCAGGCTGAGTCACAAAAGGTGATCTGTGCCACCTCCACCTGGTCCTGGCTCCCAACCAGCCCCTCTGCACAGGCCTCATAAGGCAGTTTAGCAGGGAGGGCCCAGGCATCTCAAGTGGCAAGAGCCCTGGAGCGGGGAGAAACCCGAGCAGACTCAGGTTATCTGATGGCATGCCGGCTCCACAGCTCGCTTCTTGGCTCGCTTCTTGAATATCACGAGCAGAGGAAGGCTCAGGAAGAGATTCTGGGGGGTAGCACAGGTCATCGGACAAGCTGCCCCAGGGTCAGAAGAGGGAGTAAGACTAATGTCTTCCTCCTCCAGCTCCCGCCCTCAGGACCAGATGTGCAGGCTTCCACAGCCTGCCTGCAGCTCTTGACTGATAACCTGGAAACTTATCTCTTTACGAATCTATGAACACTGTGAGTTCCTCGAGGGCTGAGACAGGTCTTATTCCTCTGTGTGTGCTGGCACAGTCTCCGGCACACCATTAGTGCCTGCTGAATATTTCATGAGTAAAGGAGAGGTGGTAACACTTACCAGGTTACCACAGGGTCAGAAAAGGCCTGATACTCACACCCACTGGGCACCTGGGATGCATGTGCTCACTCTGAGGGGTGCAGGGGACCCCCATCCTTAGTCACCCAGCTGGAGACTAAGCTTCGCATGCCCCGATTTGCAGCAGTACTAAATTACTTTGATATGATAAGGCATGAAAGTTATGGAGCCTCTTCATAGGAAAATGTCTTTCTCTCTCTCTCTGTCTCTCGCACACATACTCTTAACCTAGAAATTGTGGTTTATATCAGCCCTTCAAAAAAAAAAAAAAGGGAAAATTCTTTTTCTATGGGTGAATGTCTGTTAGTGAATGGAATAAAGACAGTCATAACTGACCACTCTGCTATCCCCAATCTAATCATTGGTTTAGGAAGAAGTATCAATGGATACAAAAAATCATTGCACAAGATGATTGTCAAGGACCAGGACACTGATTTGGTCTTGAGGTTCTCACTCTAGATAATCTAGTAATTTTTTTTTTTAAGGATTTATTTATTTATTTATACAAGCACTGGATACAGTCAGAAGTGCAGGAGGGTGAGAGAATTCACCAGAGCCAGAGCGGGGAACAGAACAGGCAGACCGACAATGAAGTACACTGCTGAGGAGAGCAGCGGGCGTGGCAGGAGAGATCTGCGTGCCATGTGGGACCCTTGCTGGCGGCCGGGGATGTAACCAGCGCTGCAGAGGCTGCGGGCAGCTTTGTAGCCCAGTGCTCAACTGCCACCAGGGGAGGCCCTAATCTAGTAACTTCAAGGAGAAAACTGCACCAGCACAATGGAGCAATTGGGCACTTACCACCTTCATCAAGTGCTCAGAATTAGTGTTATTGGTAGTTGATCGGCCTGACATTCCATACCTTGAGCTGCACAATATCTACATAATATGTATAGGAGCACTCAACTTAAATCTAATGATTAGGAAAGAATCAGACACAGCCAGAAAGGGAGGCTTCGTACAAGGCAAGTGGCCAAGAAATTAAGTGGCATAGAAAACAAATGAAAAAGGAAGGGGGGTTTAGACAAAGACACAGAAGAGACACAATAGCCAAGAGTAAAGCAGACAGTTGCACTGGGGTCTGTGTCCCCCAAAGAGCTTTCAGGTGTTTGGGAAACATCTGTGAAATCTGAAAACAGACTGCACCCTACTGCATGATGTCAATGTTCTTACACTGATCACGGTGTTGAGGCTATATGGAGAATGTTCTTTTTCCAAGGAGACACAAGTTAAAATGCTTGATGTCTACAACTCTTTCAAATGGTGCAGCAAAAGGAGAAAGGGAGGAAGGAAAGAATCGAGGCAGCTAGCTATCAAAGATAAAGTAAATGTAGTTAAAACGCAACCATTGGTGAGCACGGGAAACATACTTTCATTTTATTGCAGGTCACAGGTATCCTTGATAACATTATAAATACCTGCCTACTGCCAGACTTTGCAGACACCCTGCAATGAAGGCTCTATGGTTCACAGTGAACTATTCTTTCAACTTTTCTGAAGGTTAAAAATTTAAAATCTTCCAAATGAAATGCAGGGAGGAGGTTAGCAATCTCTGGCCGGTAACTAAGCCGAACCACAAATCAGGATTCCACACCCAGGAAGGAGCCAGGATAATGGAGAGGGCCCCAGTCAAGGCAGGTTCCAGAAGGCTTGTCAGGCTCTTCGAATACAACCCTAAAACCATTTCTGCAAGAATGCCAGGGGAGGATTACTAGGCTCTCGGTCACTCCTGAGTTCCCCTCCTTTCCCTCTCTCTGCTTAGTTCCCACCACCATCACTCTCACAGTGGAAAGGCTATGATGCAGGAGGGGACTCAGGCGGGCCTGTGGCTCCTGCCACCCCAGACATATCCTGTTTGTAAACAAGGCTTGTTCGAGCAGGTCTCCGTGCTGGATATGCACACGGGTCCACCAGCATAGCTCAGTCCCTTCTATGTCCTGTCCTTTATTGTAGAGAGTGGAAGATGTATTGTTCAGACAATACAGATGTATTGTTCAGAACTGTTTGCCAGCCAGGATCTTCTTTAGAGTCCAGTAATAACAGGCACTCACAGAAACCATACTCCTATGGAAGCGGTGGGCAGACTTAAGGCCAATTCTCAATCAGAAAGGCCCTCTATCCACCTGACTCCACCAGGTCCCTGGGCATGCTGGAGCCAGCCAATGACCAGAGCTGATGTCGGCAGTGTCAGCCCATCCCCCAAAGCCCACCTGGCACTGTCCTGGGACACCGGAAAAGGTGGTCATCCTCCTGGCACTGGGGAGGGATATCTCTGCTGCCAGGTGTCTTGGAGTTGAGGCAGGAGGGTGAGCAACAGAGAGTCCAGCACAGCTAGACCCTCCCAGGAACATCGAAGACCCCTGGAAAACCAAGATGAGTGGATGTGATGGCCTCATCGTACCAATTTCAGTCCCCACTCTCCACCATTGTCAAGCCCCCCACACCCACAGGTCCCTTCGTTTCATCTCTCTTGGGTTTGTGGATCTGTGGCCAGGGTTCCCTGGGGCCCCTAAACCACCCCAATATACCTATGATCCAGCAGCAATAGGCCCTGCTCCAGCAGCTCCTCCACCTCCTTGCTTGCTCCAAATATGTCCCAAAGGGTCAGCTGGGGCTCAAACTGCTTCCAGTGCTGGGGAAACCAGAAGGCTTAGGGGTGCAAGGGCCACAAGGTGGTTAGTTGGTAGGGCTACTCTAGGCAAAGGGGTGCAGGAGGGACAGCCCAGCATAAAGGTTGCAGGGCCAATGGGCCAGCAGGGAGGCAGGCACCTTTCCCTACTCCATAATCAGGAAGAAACCCAGCTCCCAACCAAGCCAGGTCTCCCCCTGATCCTCTGGTCAGAGTATGGCCAGCCCCAGCCAGGGTTTTATGGCCTGACTACTCCCAGAACAGCTCTGAGTTTAGTTGATCATTATCTATTATATTTCCTGCAGCTTAAAAACATTTGAAATCCCTTAATCTAGTCTGTCCTCCCCCATAGCTGGGAAAATTGAGGTTCAGAGAGATGTGTGCCTAAGGATACAGTAAGAAAGAGACTAGAGCCCCAGTGTTTGCAGCCCTGGCCCAGGGTTCTCACCATTGCACCACATTGTCCAGCGCTTCTGCCCATCAGACTCCAGTTGGAGCAAAGCCCCAGAGAAACAGGAGGGGTGGTGTGTGTGTGTGTGTGTGTGTGTGTGTGTGTGTGTGTGTGTGTGTGTGTGTGTGTGTGTGTGTAGAAGCCCTTGACCTCTTACCTGGTGAGTGATTCCCATGTCTGTGCGTAGCCCCATGGCCAACACTTCCTCCAGCCTGAAAGGAAATGCAGCAAGGGCTCTTGGAGAGATCTGTGCCTGTCCCACTGCTCAGCTCCGAGACAGGGATATGCACTGGGGGGCTCATGAGGAGCATGCAGCACGAGGTAGGGTAGAGGTAGGGTATGGCAAGAAACAAAGGTGTGCATGTGGAGGTATTTTGGGGAATGCAGGGAAACCCCAGATGAAGACCCCTGTGCCCCTAGATGCTCACAGCTCCAGCTCGCCCAGAGGGACACGCTTCCGGGTGCCATGACCAAAGAGCTTCACCTCTTTCATCCAGTTGTCAGGCTCCAGGGTCTGGATCCGAGCCTCGCGGGTGTGGCCCCCGGCCCCCTGGGGTATAAATCGCCCATGGGCCCCTGACAACAACAACCATGCCCACTTTACTAGCAGCCAACACTGTACGCTTGCCAGGTATTAAATCAGCAGTTCTCAGAGTGTGACCCCTGGTCTACCAACATCTAATATGCTAGAAATGTGAATTCTTGGGCTCTACTCCAGCCTTGTCCAGTTGGAAATTCTGCGGGTGACCCAGAAATTGGGGTTTTAACATATCTTCCACATAATTCTGGTGCACACTGAAGATCAAGAACCACAGTGCCAGAGCCAGACACTATATTAAACACCTCAAAATACATATCCAACAGCGCTATGAAGTAGGTATTTATTTTTTGTCTCACTTTATCTATCAGAAAACGTGAAAATAAGAGTCCAAGTAAGTGACCCAAGAGAGCAGTGACATCACTGTCCTGAGTCACCCCAGGGGTACTCACCAGGCCCAATGCCAAGGTACTGACCACACTGCCAGTAATTCCAATTGTGGGTACTAAGCGCCCCCTGTGGAGAGGGAGGGAATAGTCAGTGCAGAGTGAAGGAGTGGGCCGGTTAGAATGACCCACCAACACAGTCCTTGAAAGCACCAAGCGAGACCCTTCTCCCCAAAAGGCCCTAACTCCCCAGTCACAACTCGGTTTGCCACTGCCCATTTCACCCTTCAGCCCAGGACTCACATTCCGGGCGAAGTTGGAGACCTCATACTGGCGGAAGCCGGCCTCCTGCAGAACTGCCCGTCCCTCCTGGTACATCTCGGCAGCCAGGTCAGGGGCAGGGGCAGGAAGGGAGCCCTGCTGCACTTGGGTGAAGAGCGTGGTGCCCCGCTCCAGGGTCAGCTGGTAGAGGGAGAGGTGGTCGTCACAGTGGCGAAGCAGCTCCCGCAGCTGCCACAGCCAGGGTGCAACCTGCTGTGTGGGCAGCCCCAGCATCAGGTCCACAGACACACGGCCGGGGAAGAGGCGCCCGGCCTCTGCCAGCGTCCGCAGAGCATCGCCAGCCGAGTGCGTCCGCCCTAGCAACTGCAGCTCAGCATCGTCCAGGGACTGAGGAGAGAGGGTCAAGTGTAAGCACGCAGGTCAGCACAGTCAACTGACTTTAGTGTCATGGACACACACACGGGAAAAGTCGTGAACAGCAGGGAGCTGGAAGGCAGGTGATCAAGCCGGATCTAAGGGCTGAAGAGTCACATGTCCAAATGTTTTCCTGCAACATCCAATTCATTCTTCAAACTGTCCAGTATTAGCTCCATGTTATAGATGAGAAAAACGAGGTTTAGAAATCTTAGGTAGCTCACCCAAGGTTATACAATTGCCAAGATAGATTAAGAATTTAGGATGGATTTCAAAGCCACCAGCCTTAAAATTTTACTTGTAATTTTGAATATTTCAAATCTACAGAAAAGTTGGGGGGGGTAGTCACAATAAACACTTCATCTGGATTCATCAACTGACATTTGTCACTTTTGCTTCCAAATATTATGCTGACTCATATGAGAGCAACTTATAGACAAGAACTATTTGAAAGAACTTTTTCTGGTAATGGAATATTCTCTGTCTGCACTGCCCAACACAGTAAGCACTGGCCACACAGAGCTGTCTAACTGTTAAGTTAATTAAATTTAAATAACTCCATTTTAGGAGGGTTTCCATGATTTCATCAGATGAAGGTGTCCTTCCGTCTGTACTCTGAAAGCCCTTTATAGGCAGCCTTTACCATGTTGATCACCTGTCTGCCTCCTCCTGTGTCTCCAATCACATAACAAATCTTTTTTGAGTACCTACTATGTGCTAGGCACTACGGTGGGTGCTTGGAATGCAGTGATGAATAAAGGCACAGGATCCCTGCCTCATGGAGCAAGTGGTCTAGCCCAGCAGCAGACAACTACATAGTGACAAAAGTGTCAAGACACATTTTTCAGTACCTCCTAGGATCTGGCACCCAAAAGGAATCAATAAATGTTTGTTCAATGAATGACTGAATCTGATCAGAGGAGAGACAGCACTGAAGGGCTCAGTGCTCTGGGAGTGGGTGGGTAAGTTGGGTTACCTGGAGGCCAATGGACAACCTGTTGACCCCTGCTGCCCCAAAAGCTGCCAGCCTGGAGCCTGAGGCTGAAGTGGGGTTGGCCTCCAATGTGACTTCCGTGTCTGCAGGCAGGTGGACTGCCTGGGCCACCGCCTCCAGGACAGCAGCCACAGTGTGAGGACTGGCCAGGCTGGGAGTGCCCCCACCAAAGAACACAGACTCCACCCTGGGAAAAGAGGACGGAGGTGAGTCTTGTGCTTATCCAACATCCACACCGCCCCCCCAATAATTCCCAAGACCCTGCTTCCAGCCTCCATACCCACCGCTGCACCCCACTGAGCCGCAGCAGTGTCTGAGCTTCAGTCACCAGACAGCTCCGCATGGCTGCCTCATCCACTCCCCGGAGGATGTACTTGTTAAAGTTGCAGTAACTGCAGCGCTTCTCACAGTACGGCCACTAGTGGGGAGTGGGGCAGGGGTCTCTGAGTGGGACAGGGGGTGACTCCAGGTGGCCCTAGCTACGTCCAGAGTTCAGTCACACACCTCCCGGCGCTCTTCCAAGGTCCATCCACCGAGGCTATGCAATCTAACCCCCACCCCCCAGGGCAAGTCGGAATGGGATTACTAAATCCACTGCAATTTGGGAAAACGACGTGCAGAAGGGAAATCACTAGGTCAGGATCACGGAACCGGTGAGACTTCAGATCTCTGAACCAAGGCATTCCCTGCCTGGGCACCGCGACCCACCCATCTCGGCTGCGGGCAGGGAAGGCGGGTTCGCAGCCTGACAGCGGCCACGTGGGTCCGGGCCGCGCGCCCCCCCCCCACCCACTCACGTGCACGTAAAGCGCCGCGCGCCGGCCCGGGGGCTCGGAGCCGCAGGCCTCGCTCGCGCCCTCCACGCGGCGGCGCGTCTGGGCCGCTGTGAGCGCAGCCGCGCAGCCGCGAGCCCGGGCCCCGGGAAGCGCCATGGCGCGTTACGCGGCGGCGCGCGGCCTGGGGCGCCGAGCAGGATCCGAACTCGAGACGCGCCCGAGACGCTCCGGCGCGCGCAGGGCCGGCTGGGTGGGTCACCCCGGCGGAAGGAAGCGGGGCTGCGTGACCGCGTGCCGCGTCCTCCGCGCCCGGAGGCCTGGAGCCTCGGGTCTGCAGCGCCACCTGCCGGACGCCGCTGGGCCCACCGCAGCCGCGGCTCGGTGCCTTCCCGGGCTGCCGGGGGCGAGTTCCCCACCCTTGCAGGACTGGCTTCATCCTGTCAGTTCCTTCCCATCTTATAAGCAGCCTGGCTCAGAACTGGGCGCTGGGGACACCTAGATGCTTAAGTCCAGACCCCAGTACAGATGCACGAGACAGGGGAGAGGCAGAGCCGGAAGAGACAGACGGCCACAGGTATTAGTCAGCACCTGAGGCCGGTCTGATAGGACGGCGTGGAGCCAGTGACGGAGGAGAGCGCGCTGGGGCTGGATGGTGAAGGAGCATAAAATCCCAGGGGTAACTGGCTGGCCAGGAAAGCGAGCAATCTGCCATCTCCTGGGCAGGTCATCCTGGATGCCCTCTGGGAGGAGAGTCAGAGAGCGTGTCTGTGGGAGAGGCAAGATGCAGGTGAAGGCCTGGGAAGGCAGGCCGGTGAGGACCTGTCACACAGGTGGAAAGGCAGGGGCTTTAGAGTCAGGCAGCCTGCCTTTATTCCGGCTGAGTGGCTTGGGGCAGGATGCTGAACTGTTTGGGCAGATTTTTCACTAGGGAAGCAGACAGCACTCAGAGAGGAGGAGGGTAGCTCTTTATTTACTCTGGTGGCCTCAGAGGAGATCTCTCGCCAAAGTCTGAGCCCAGAGCAACTAAGTTACGGAGTATTTATTGACTAAAGCAAGGGGTACTGTCATCTGGAAATGCATGACTCAGGGTGCCTGTAGCCTTGAGGGCACTTATTTATCAGTTGTTCCCTAAAACTTTCAGTCTACAGGCTGTGCCCCAACTTCAGCTCATCAACAGGTCAGCCTGACATTTTCCACTTCAGAACCTCTCTGAGTTTACTTCACCACTTGTGCTAGGATAGTGGGGAAGATTTCAAGAGAAAAGGTTGCATAGTGCTTGGCACTCGAGTTTCCTAAGCTTATGCCCCCCCCCCTTTTTTTTAAACAAGTAAAGAGGAGGGCACTGCTGCCAGGGGCAGACACACTGTGGACAGGAAGGAGGTCTCTGTCTCCATGAACTGGAAATCTGTGTGCTTTCTGGAACCCAGGGTTTTTTGTTTTTTTGGTTTTTGTTTTTTAATTTCTTGGGTCAAGCTATAGCCTGCTTGAATCTGGCCCTGCCCATCAGGGGTCCATGGATTTAAAAAAAAAAAAAAAAAGAAGGGGTGACTCCCCCAACCCTTTAGATAGCTAAAGGGCATGGAGTTTCTTTTTAAGAGAATGAAAATATTTTAAATTTAGTGAGTGTTGTGCATATCTGTGAATATGAGCACTTTAAATGGGTGAATTGAATGGTATGTGAATTATATATCATTAGAGCTGTTTAAAAGAATACTCCTTGCTGGGCTAATCTGACAACAATGTAGAAAAAGAAATGAGACTAGCCTAAGAAAAATTGGGTTGGGATCTCAGAGTGCTTGAGTGAGGGTTACATTAAGTAAATAATGCATGCCAAAGTGCTCCACATCCTCACTGACAAGGAATAGGAGGTCGGAAAGTGCTAGTTCCCCTTCTGTCTTTCCCTTTCTCCACCCCACAGTAGTTGCCAAGAGAGCACCCAACAAAAGTCCAGTCAAAGAAAACATGAAGAAGCTCTTTATGCCAAATCACAAGTACAGACAGGGCAGTGTCAGGGGAGGGCAGAGAGGACCCGGGAGGACACCCCTCCCCTCTTTATTTACAGGTTTAGGTGTTGTTCCATCTGTTCTCGAAGCTTGTATTTCTGGATCTAGAGGAAAGAGAAGGGATTGAGAGCCAGGCTTGGTGCCTCTGCCATTAAGGGTGACCAACCCCTTCAGTTTGCTGGGACTGAGCTGTTTCTTAGGCTAATTTTCTTAGGGCAAACCAGGATGAGCTGACTAGTTGGTCACCCAGCTGCCAGCCACTGGCTAGACTCTTCTTTTTTTTAATAGAAGATTTATTTATTTATGTATACAACAGCTGGGTACAGGTCAGAGGTGTGGGGGGTGAGGGGATTCACCAGAGACAGAGTAGGGAACAGAATAGGCAGGTTGACTGAAACACACTGCTGAGGGGAGCAGCGGGAGAGTCAGGAGAGGTCTGCTGCGCCATGTGGGCAGCTCCCTGGCTGGGGATCGAACTCGTGCTGCAGTGGCTGCAGATAGCTTCATAGGTTGCATCTCAACCCCTTGTGCAACCAGGGAGGCCCTGGATAGACTCTTGGGTCCACTGTGAAGAAAGCATGCTTGGGACATCTTGGCTTTCTGCACCTGGGGCCCCAGACCGCTCAGCCCTCCCTGGCCTCCTCCACCTGGCATACCTTTCCGGAGCCAGTGAGGGGGTAGTCTGTGACAAACACGATGTACCGGGGAATCTTGAAGTGTGAGATCTGCAGACCAGAAGGAGATAACATGTGTGGATGGGTGGGGGGTCATAAGGGGAGGGGAGGGTACAGCGGGCTGCAGGTTGGCAGGGAGAACCAAGTAACATCGGCTGGGGGTGGATTAAGCTTCCCACCTTCCCTTTGCAGAAAGCCTTGATCTCCTCCGCTGTGGTCTTCTCCCCCTGCTTCAATCGAATGCAGGCACAGATCTCCTCCCCCATCCGGTCATCCTTCACTCCCACCACCTTCCAGGGTCAAAGGCTGATGTCAGACATCCCCATCCCCAGCCGTACCCCATGTTTCCTGCTCCTGGGGGCTCACCAGGACTGGTGCCTCACCTGTACTTCCTGCACCTGTGGGTGGTTGTGAAAGAAGTCCTCCAGCTCCGCGGGGTAGATGTTCTCACCACCTCGGATGATCATATCATTGGAGCGGCCCACAATCTTACAGAAGCCTTGCTGATCCAGCATGGCGATGTCTCTATAGGGAAAGTCCAGGAATGGCCTCTCACCTCCACCTCATCGGGCTAGCTCACTCACTCACTCACTCATCAAACATTTATCAAGCACCTACAATGTGCCTGGCACTGTTCTAGACTTGGGGAGGCACAGCATCCACATGTCATGTGGAGCAGACAGACAAAAACAAATAAGCCAAAACCTGCCCTTCCTTCTCACCCAGTCCGATACCACTTGTCCTGTCCAATTGCTTCCTGCGTCTTCTGGGGCTCACCCCAATAGCCCAGCATGACGCAGTATCCTCGGATGAACAGCTCTCCGGGTGTGTTCAGCTCTACCAGGGCTCCATTCTGCGTGTTCAGGATCTGGGCCTGGGACCAGACAACTTCAGGATGCAACCTCCCACCCTCTCATTTCAGGATGGGGAGGGCCTCAGGAAGCGGGGGGGAGCTTTGCCTTCCCTCTCCCCAATAATGAGACCCCTTGGACCTGTCCATCCCAATTCAGGGCAGAGGGACAGGCTGGAGTAGATCCACCAGCAGCCTGGACAGGAAAGGATGGAGGAAGCCCAGGCCAGGAGGGGCGAAGGAAACTGAGCGGGCAGAGGCTGCTGCAGAGGAGGCCTGTGGAGGGCCAGGCCAACTGAAGAATTATAAACTGTGCAGAAATAAAGGAGCAAATAAAGAAGCCAAATAGGGTGGTGTGGCAGGGCCACGTGAATGGGAGTAGAGAAGAGGCAGAGATGAAAGCCCAGCAGAAAGATGAGCCACGGCACACATGCAAGAAGAGTTTACTTGTGTCCCTCAGTGACTGCATCTGTGAGATGGGGAGAACTACCCTCGCCCCATCTACCCTACAAGTGGGCACCCCTGTGAGCAGCAGCGGGTTGTTGGGTACATGAAGGGGTACACTGCAGTGCACACTCGCTGCCAGGAGGAGGCCCAAAGAGATCTCAGCATGGTGGCCGTCAGCCCTAGGGAAAGCGAATTATCGGGCACATTGGCATTGGCAGTAACTCCAGAGGGGCGAGGATACAGGAGGCAGAGGATCCGGGGGTGGGGGGGTGGGGTGGCATAAAGCACCAGGAAAGGAATCACAGCTTTAAGCAAAGAGGAGCGCTGCAAAACGAGGGGGGGTGGCGGGGGGGTAGGAGAATACAGGAGAAAAAGAGCTGTGTAGGAAAAAATCTCTGTGCCCTGGCTCCTCTTTGAGGCTGTCCTGGCTGCCCCGAAACAGACAGTGGGCTTGGCAAAAACAGACCTCAGACAGGAAGGGAGGCTGTGGAGAAGTTCAGCTGGCCGCTGCTCAGGGCCACTGCTCCAGCTCTTCCCCTCAGGCCTCCACCCAGAGAGTCTCGGCCAGGCCCTTGACCCCGCAGTGTCTGGAGGGAGCTGTTCGGGTCTCTCATTGAAAGCAATAAATGTTCTGGGGCGGGGGCACCCCAGGTGATGGTGGGAGGTGGGGTCTGGAGGGCTGGGCTGGGCTCACCTCTGTGTGAGGCATAATTCTGCCCACAGTTTCTGCCTTATGCTCCAGAGTGTCCTGAGCAAAGTTCATGAAGGTCACAGGACTGTTCTCTGTGGTTCCATAAGCCACCTAGGGAGTCCAGAAAGGGTGTTTGGAGGGAGCTCGAGGACTGTGTAGAGATGGGGTGAGCTACCCTGAGGGAACACCCTGGGAAGGAGCTTGGGGATAAGTGGAAGGGAGCTAGATGGTGGGAAGAGACTTGCACTCGACAGGTCAGGGGTCAGAGGTGCTGGGACTTTGAGTAGACTGGCAGACTAGCTCAATGAGCAGGAACCCCAGGCCTGAAATAAAATTCAAGCAGGGAAGCCATTCCCTTCCAGACAGGGTCGCCCAGCTTCTGGCCCATCCACATGCTCCAGTGTTATCAAAGCCCCCACAACCTCCACTGCCCCTCCCTTCGAAGCCCTTCCCCCATGAACGTGATGAGAAAGCCAGCCTGGCCTGGCCCAGCTGGGGCACAGACACAACCCACCCACCCGGCCCTACCCCACCTCACCCTTCTGAAACTCAGAACAAGAGTCTATCTTTGGGTGGGTGTCCCCAAGCTCTGGAGAATTTCTTGTAAGTTTATTTCCATCAAAATAAAGAGACAGCCAAAGCAAGGATTTAAAAAGCCAGTGGCACCCCCGCCCCTTCCAGTGGTTGGAACATCCTGAGCAACAGAAAACCAGAAGCCAGCCTTGGAGGAGGCTAAATACCATCAGGGAATGTTCTGGGCAACCATGACCTCCATCTAGAGGCAAGGGGCTAAAGGAGCTTAGGAAAGGGGCCCCCATACCTGGGTACTGGAAGAAGGGTGAGGGGCTAGCTACCCTCTATTCTAGGTTCCTTCTGGTCCCCCCCTCATTAAGCCCCCCCACCTCATTTCTCTATGTTAGCTGGGGTGAGTCAAGCACAGAAGGGTCTGGTTCTTTCCCCCCCACCCCCCCAATACAGACAACAACCCCTACCAGGCACCCCAGAGCTGAGATCCTATCTGCCCACCCTCCACTTCCCGCAGAAATGGGGACACCTTGGTTGGTAAGTAGACGCAGAGGCCTGGTCGACAGAGGCAGGGTTGCCCACAGGACCTGGAGCCTGGCTAGCAAGCTGTCCGGGGCCAGCTCCGTGTAGCTAGGAGACCTGCCCCCCTCCCCCTCCCTCACAGCCCTGGGGCCACTGCCCAGGTGTGGCCTCTGCCAAGTACACCTTGGCGCCACTCTGGCCGCCACCCTGAGAGCCCCCTCGGAGGCGCGCCCTGACCACTGGAGGTGGGGATGAGGAGATGGGGCTATTTTAGGAAGATTAAGTAAGGGGGAGAAAGGGAAGCTGTCGCCGCTGTCCTCGCTGTCCTCGCGCAGTTGCCCTGGCCCTGCCTGCGGTCTTCAGGTGTGTTTACGAGTCCTGTGGGTGGCCCCACCCCCTCGCCGCCCCAGGTCCCAATTTTCTGGTTAGCGTTCGGCCCTGGAAAAGGGGGCTGGGGCGCAGGGGACAGGAACCCAAGCCCGGAGCCGGGAGAGAGGAGCCCCGCAGGGCCGGCGGGCGCGCACTTCTCGTCAGGCCTGGCTCGGGGCGTCGAGCCGGAAGCGGGAGCCCGACGCCAGAGCTGCTCGCACGCTCCGCCGGCGGCGCACAAGAGCCCCATTAAAGCGCCGCGGCTGGCGGACCGCGGCGAGACTCGTGTCCGGCTGTCCTGCTCCGCTTCCTCTCGCCGGGTCCAGGCACCCAGCCGAGCGTCTGGGGGGGGGGGGCGGGTTGGGGAAGGGGGTGGCGGCTGGCGGCTCATGCTTGAGCAAACAAATAAGTTCAGGGAACGCCTCCCTCTCTTCGGTGTAAACTCGGGGCTCTCCACACACCCATCCTTCCCCTCCCCGAAAAGTCTGAGGGAAAGAAGGTAGGGGGCAGGGGGAGAAGCAGGGTCTGAGAGCGCAGAGAAAGGGGGCGAAGGATGGGGGACGAGGTCCGGCCGCCGTCCTGGCCCCACACAGTCGCCGCCGTCTGGGGGCCCCCTCCCCACCGAGGGCGGGGGCGCATCTCTGGGCGCGAGGGAGTTAAGCTGGTGCCTCGATGCTCCACGTAGGAGCTGGCTCGGCTGCCGGCTGCGGTCAGGGCCACCGTATAAATAGGCCAGGAGCCCCGAGGAGCTCCGAGGACTTGCCGCTGCCCGCACCCCGCCGTCGTCGCTGCTGCCGCCGCTGCCCCCAGCCCCGGCCCCAGGCGTCCTGGCCATGGCCCGCCCGATCCTACTGCTCAGCCTCGGCCTCCTGGCCGGCCTCCTGCCGGTGCTCACCGCCTGCCCCCAGAACTGCCACTGCCACGGCGACCTGCAGCACGTCATCTGCGACAAGGTGGGGCTGCAGAAGATCCCCAAGGTGTCGGAGAAGACCAAGCTGCTCAACCTACAGCGCAACAATTTCCCAGTGCTGGCTGCCAACTCGTTCCGGGCCATGCCGAACCTCGTGTCGCTGCATCTGCAGCACTGCCAGATCCGCGAGGTGGCGGCCGGGGCCTTCCGCGGCCTCAAGCAGCTCATCTACCTGTACCTGTCCCACAATGACATCCGCGTGCTGCGCCCAGGCGCCTTCGACGACCTGAGTGAGCTCACCTACCTCTACCTGGACCACAACAAGGTGACTGAGCTGCCCCGGGGGCTGCTCTCCCCGTTGGTCAACCTCTTCATCCTGCAGCTCAACAACAACAAGATCCGCGAGCTGCGTGCAGGGGCCTTCCAGGGCGCCAAGGACCTGCGCTGGCTCTACCTGTCGGAAAATGCGCTCACTTCCCTGCAGCCCGGTGCTTTGGATGATGTGGAGAACCTCGCCAAGTTCCACCTGGACAGGAACCAGTTGTCCAGCTATCCCTTGGCTGCTCTGAGCAAGCTGCGGGTGGTGGAGGAGCTGAAACTGTCCCACAACCCCCTGAAAAGCATTCCAGACAATGCCTTCCAGTCTTTTGGCAGATACCTGGAGACCCTCTGGCTAGACAACACTAACCTGGAAAAGGTGAGCTCCCAGCTCCAGACCTGTGCCCTGGCTCCTCTGCCTGGAGGCCTAGAGGCGCAGGGCCACAACTGGGCACTATCTCCTCTCCCCTAAAGTTGTTTTTCCTCTGGCTATCTCCAAAGCGAGGGCATTACCAAACTCTGTCCCTTGTCTTCTCACATCCACACCCTAAACCCTGCCCTGCTGCCCGGTCCCCAGTCTCAGCCACTGCACCCTAGGATTCCTACTTATAAACAGGGCTGGGTCTGCCCTGATCCAACAGATGGCCTGGCCCCTAAAAGGCATCTCCAGCGTGCCCACCCCCACCCCAACCCCTGCTGTGGGCAGCAGCCACCTCTTCCTGTTGGGCCTTCTGCCCCTCCTCTGCTGTTTTTTCCTGTCTCCAGTAAACCTACTACCCCATAAAGGAAGGTTTGTTTATTGAGGAGCCTTCTAGAGGAGCGGGTGAATCAGGCCCACAAAGAGACCCTGTTCCTGATGGGGAGCTAGGGAGTGAGCGGGGAGCATATACCTGGGGAAGACCTCCTCCATGCCCCCCAGAGGCCCTAGCGGATGCTCCTCCACCCCCCACCCACACACACTCCACTGCATTCTCGGGTCCATTTCAACTGAGTGGGGGCCAGGAACCAGGGGCTCCCCGGGGCTGTAGGCATGGCACCAATGGGCTCCTTGAAAAGGAAAAAGCAAGTGCCGTGCACCATTGTCAACCTTCAACACTGGACCGAGGGTCTCCCCACAGGGAAGACACGCTGTGCATCACTGTGCCCAGACCACTAGCTGCCTTTTGCTCACCAGAGCCACCAGACCCTCTCCTGGCTGCAGCCTCGCTTAGTCCTGCCTCCCCCACAGTACCCAGCCTGGCCAGCTGGAGCTGTTGGGCTGAGGACAGAATCCTCCTTGGGACTGGAAAATCATTCTGGTACAGGGGCTTTGGCCAGGCAGTTTGGGCAGGGATCATGGCAAGGTAAAGGCAAGATGGCCATCTGCATGGTCTGGTTACAAAGACCATGTCACAGCAGTCCCTGGTCACAGGCCTGAAGATGCAGGATCAGCCCAGACAGCAGCCAGCCTTTGTTTGGGCAGATGGAATCTGCCCCCCCCCCCCCCCCCCCCCCCCCCCCCGCGCCCCAGCCCATCTCCAGCCCCAGCTTCTCCCCAGCTGAAATCGGAGACCCTGTGGCCTTTCAATGGGAAGCAGAGCAGGGCATCAGGGGCTGATCTGGGGCAGGGGAGTCCAGGCAGGAACTGTCAGTCCTAGGCCAAGATGTGGGCATCAATAGAACGTTTCCTCTGGAGGCTTCCAATCTGGCCAAACGCCCCACCAAGGTGGCTCCACAAATAGCTTTTGTCAGGCAGTGAGGGAGCAGTGAGGACAGAGCTGGGTTAAATCCCAGGACCCTGGGGGTGTCGGGAGCCCGGGCCCACAGCCCACCCCACCAAACACTGACTGACTTCACTGTGTGCCAGCTTGGGCCAAACTCAGGCTGCCTCCCCATCCCAGTATTTGTGCAGGGAGGGTGGAGCCAGGGAAGAGGAGGCTGGTGTGGTGCTGCAGCCTCGCTAATGTGTCCCTGGGCAAGGGGCTTTGTTTCTATTCCCCCACCCACTCTCTGGAAATAACGCTGCCTGCCTGCATCTCAAAAGGTGGCGGTGTGATTAGATCATCTGAGACAATTCAGTCCCCAGTCCCCGTGAAATGCCTCGAGGTGCCAACGCTTTTGTCCAGGGAAGGACCCTGCCCCTAGGCACCATGGAGCTGGAAAAGTCTGGACCCTGGTTCTGAGGTGCACACTCATGACCACTTTACCCCCCAGTTCTCAGACGGTGCCTTCCTGGGTGTGACCACGCTGAAACACATCCATCTGGAGAACAACCGCCTGAGCCAGCTGCCTTCCAATTTCCCCTTCGACAGCCTAGAGACCCTCAACCTCACCAGCAACCCCTGGAAATGTACTTGCCAACTCCGGGGCCTCAGGAGGTGAGAACACCCCCGTGTGCTCCCCAGAAGCCACCCTCATGTGATGGAGTGGAGACACATCAGGCCCTGCACTAAGACCTCCAAGCATATGTGCTAGATCTGCTCCCGAGTAGGTTCCCTGCTTGGGGTGGGGGTGTGGTTCCCCATTTTTGAAATGAAGATGACAGTTCCCCACTAACCTGAAGCCAAGCCGATCCTGGCCCCATGGCTCACCGTCCCTTCCCCAGTACTCCCACATCCCTCCTCCAACCCCAGCAACTCTCTGTCTCTCCAGGTGGCTGGAAGCCAAGACTTCCCGCCCCGATGCCACCTGTGCCTCTCCCGCCAAGTTCAGGGGCCAGCACATCCGTGACACAGATGCCTTCCGAAGCTGCAAGTCCCCCACTAAGAGGTCCAAGAAAGCCGGCCGCCATTAAACAGGTGGGGGCAGGGTGGACAGGTCCCCCATGCTCTCTCGGCACATGAGGAGGGGTGGCCCATGGGGAGGGGTGGGGAGACCCCCCATTTTGAGAGGGGAGGACTAGGATGCCTCTCCCAGGGGACACATGCCTGGGACTCCCATCATGTCCTGACATGGCTCCTTGCCTCTCCACAGGTCCCGACCCAGCTGGTCCTGGTGACTGGCCTCTGCCTTCCGCCGGAGAGACTACTGACCTTCCCACTCTGACCCGGCCTTCTCCCCACAGCCTCTGCTGATGCACAGAGCTGTCCACACCTAGCCGCGTCCTGGCAGGGGGCTCAGGCACTCCAGCAGAAACCCAGCTCTACCCAGCAGTGAGAGCGCCATCACACCTGCCCCCACCTCCCAGGCTCTTCTGAAAAAAGCTGTTACTGAGACCCCCCAAGGCCCTCAGAACCAGAACAGAGTGGTCATCAGGATGGCCACCTTCCAGAATCCTCCCCTCTGCTCCCCTTGCCCTGCCATTTGGAAACAAACATCAACCCCTTGCCCCACCCTTTCCTTCCAGAAAGGGTCTGAAGCCCATAGCCCAACTCTGCCAGCCCCACCTGCCAGGACACGCCAGCAGGACACTGGTGCTTTGCTACATACCCTGCGCTGCATTTCCTCCCCAGATTTCTATAAATATAAATGTATGTATGTATATTTACCCCCCCGGCCCCTACCTCCATGATTCACCAACTGCTGAGGTCAGACTATTTTCTTACATCTGCTTACTGGAAGGAGGGGGAGGAGAGGGTCTTCCTTGGAGACAGCAGATGATAGCTCAGCCTTCACTTGTCAGTCTGTCCTCACCCAGGCCTAGCCTGCCTCCCACTCCCAACCTGGGCCCAGCCCCTGTCCCAGAGGCCACTTACCACCAGCTCCTTCATGTTCAACTTGTTGCTCATGGCTCGGATCAGCTGTGGGGGTACCGAAGACCCACCAATCACACCTGAATCAGAGAGCAGGCTGACACAGCTCCCCCCTTCTCCAGGCACAGGAGACCCCCTTCACCTACAGCTCTTTCTAGGGAAGAAATTCCCTTCTCTCCCTGACCCTGGATCTGTTCCTACACTTGGCAGCAGACCTTGAACTGGGAACACTGGGGATTTGCCTCCTCCCCCACCCACCCCACCTTTCAGCAATAACCCTCTTGCCCCCTAAATAAGAGTGGGTCCAAATCAAGCTCACCCCGGCCAGTGCTGGCCTGGCCACCCCATCCCACCTCCACACATGGTTGAGATGTCATAACTGGAGAAGTCTGGCTGGTTCAGAATGTCCAAGTACATTGTGGGGGTGCCATAGAGGTGGGAGCCTCTGTATTGGGGGGAGGGGAGAATGCATCTCAAAATCAGTCTCGGAAGTAGAAGGGAGCTCCTCACCCACCACCCGGAATCTGCAGAAAGGACAAGTCTGCAACCTTGGGGAGCAGACAAAGAGCAGAGAGGGAGGAGACATCTTGGAAAGGGATGGGGCCCAGGAACGAGAACAGAAGGTTCCCATAAACCTGTGGGTAGCTGCCCATTGATGCCCACCTCTCTTTGCTGATGGCCTCCAGCACCTTCTTGCCGTCAAAGGCTGGAGAGGACAGGATGAGGGTGAGGCCATAGATCACGCTCACCATTGTGCCGCCCACAGAACCCAGGCAGTGGTACAGGGGAGCAGGCAGGACTGCCCGCAACTCCTCCGGCGGCTGGAGATGAAGACGGGAGGCTGAGTCTATACTGGAGCCAGAAGCCCAGGAAGCCATTTCTTCCACTCTGCAGGGGGAGCCCAGCAAGTCCCCACCCCTGCAGGGTGCCCGTCAGCCTTGGCCTGGGTCAGCACCCCTTTACCTTCAGGTGCAGTTTCATTCGCTCCCCTAGTAGGCTGGCGTTGTTGACAATATTGTAGTGGGAGAGGGTGGCCCCCTTGGGTCTGCCTGTTGTCCCCTGACAAGAGAAGAAAGTGACAGATTGGTCTCCTTCTTTGTCCTGCACACAGGTCTCCCGTGTGCCTGCCTGACGCTAGCCGCTAGGATCCAGAAATGTGGAAGATAAGGTCTCTGTCCTCATGCATAAGGCGACTCAGGGAACTCTGTGGCCCACCGGCAGAGTCCCTCTCGGCTCAGTTCCCCCATCTGCCAAATGAGGGGACAGGCGGGACCAGCTCTGACATGTTTGCCCAGGACATCTGCCCCCCAGGGCAGATGCTAGGGACGAAGGGCCTAGGGGGTGCAGCAAGTGACAAGCACCCAGTGCTGATGTTTTCCAGGGCAGAGAGGACAGCTAAGGCTACACCATGGGGAAGGGTGCCTATACTCCTGACCACCTCCGCTACCCCCCTACACTTGAGGAAGGGTCACGGGGCCAAGGGTCAGCATGCCAGCGTGGGCTCGGGGCCTGAGCACTCAGCCCTACCGAGGTGAACTGGATGTTGATGGGGTCATGGCAGGACAGGAACTTCTGGGCGTGCCGGAACTGGGCCAGATGCTGCTCGGCACTGCCAGCTGCTAACACGTCGTCCAGGAGCAAGGTCCCTGGCAGAGGGGCATCCACTGAGATGACGGTGGTCAGGTCTGGGAGCCTGGGGCAGGGAGATGGTGAGAGTAGAGGCTGAGGGAGGGTGAGAGGGTTCTGCGAGATCCCAGCTTCATCCCTGGGGTTGGATAGGAAATGAGGGGCCGGGATACTGCACAACACTCTCCTCCCAAACTGGAACACTCCCACCTCTGACTCTTCAAGGCCCCGGGCTGGGATGTCTCCAGCTCTGGACAGATCTGCTTCAAGATGTCGTAGTACTGCTGAGTCTTGAACTGCTTGGGGAACACGAGGGCTTTGCAGCCCACCTGTGGAAGCAGAAGCCCCCACTTCTAGTCAGCAGGAAGCCCCAGACTGGTCTTTGGGGGGTCCTCAGGAAGAGTTGCTGTCTCTCATACATATCACCACTACCCTGATACATGCACATCACTTCTGGTCACACACCCCAACTCACACATACTACCCCCTACACACATGCGCATGCACTACCATTTAACATGTATAGACAAAGCCCATAACTACCCCCACAGACGTGTGTCACCCTAAGCACATGCACCAGCTGGTGTGCCCTATCCTCCCACACACAGCCCAAAGACGCACTGGGTGTCACCCACCTGTACATGCCCTCCCCATGCCCTCAGCCCTCTATGACAATCGGAAGCCCCCTGTGCCAGGCAGTGGCCAGGCGCCTCTCCCAGCAATGGGACCTACCTTCTTGAGAGCATACTCAAGCTCTAAAGACTGGTAGGCTGGGTTCACAGACACCTGGAGGAGATAGCAAAAGAGTGCCAGTGTCCTCTGCAGCCCCTGTCCCCCTTGATGTGCCTCCACATCTGGAGGTTCAGATGCACTGTGTAGACAGAGGCATTGCCTCCACCCCAGGGCCTCCTGGGAAGACTTCAGGAGAAAGTACTATCTGGTCTGAAACCAGCCAGGCACTGGTTTGGTTCTGGGGCCAACAGCCTGCGGGCTCTCCCTGAATAAGACCCCCCAACTGTGCCAGGCTGCCCCTCCTCACCAGAATGATGCCCGCCTTGGCAGTGGCCAACTGTATGAGCACCCATGCGTAGGAGTTGGGGCCCCACATGCCCAGGCGGTCGCCCTTGCGGAGGCCGATACTTAGGAGTCCAGAAGCAGCTTTGTTCACCTGGTGTAAACAGACAGGATGGACAGGGGAGATGCAAGCAAAGTAGCAAGGGACCCAACCTCTCACGCCAGCCTTTGGCCCAGGGGTTCGCATCAATACCGCCTGGGAAGAAGGCACAGACAATTCCAAGGCCTTGGCACCTCTGGAATGGAGCCTGGGAATATATATCATAAGCAGTGCCTCAGTAGCGACTGACACAGGCGGCATCCTGACTACCTCTGCCTCAGCCCTTCCCCTTCTCCTGACATCCCTGGGCATCTCAGGCAGCTCCAGCACCCTGTCCCCAAAGCCAGGTGCCACCTTGAGGCTCTGGCCATTCTACCTGAGAGTTAGCACCTGTTTGTTTTGAGGATTCAAGATCAGGACCTACCTCCTCCAAGAGCTGAGTGAAGTTCAACCTGACGTTTTCGTGGGAGACGATTAAGGCCTCTTGGTCAGGGAACTTCTGTGTTGTGTCCTCGAGGCACTGTCCCACCGTCTTGTTGATTAGTCGCAAACTGGTTCGGCCCTGGACGTAGCTGAGGCCTCCGATGGGCAGGGTTGCAGTGTGATCCTCCTCCCTGGAACTGTTGGGGACAGAGGTATGGACTTGCTTGTATCAAGCTGGACACCTCTGACACCAGGGCTTAGCACACCCAGCTGGGAGGTTGGCTGCTCACATGTTAGGGACCACTCCAGAAACTGACCTTACCCCACCCCCAGGAACCATCACCATTATATTTAGAGGCTGCTTCATCCTTGGAAAAGCCAAACCCTGAGCTGATTTCCTGTTCTTTATCAGAGAGAAGATTCTTTTCCCCAAACAGTTTCTACCTAGAAGAGCCACCTGAAGTCTTGATACCGAAACCTCTTGAAAGGAAACTGAGTTAAATCTTGCTGCTTTGACCAAGCAGAAAGTTGACCTGTGGGCCAAGAAGAGACTCACGCTAGACACTGCTCCCTCCTGATAAAAAGGCCCCTGGGTATTTGACAAAACGCATGGGATTGTCCAACATAAGGACTAAACCTTACATCAAACCATGGAAATAGTCAATAATAACAGATGGTATCAATCCATTAACTAACAGCACCACACTAAAACAGTGCCACACACTATATTAATAACTGGAAGAATCGCCTGCCTCTGGTAGGTGTATCTATTATATGGACTATCATCGGAGTTAGTCTATAGCTCAAAAACCGTACTTAAAAAAAAGTCTACTGATTAACAAAAACAAAAACAAAAATTCCAACTATCACCTGCCAGCTTAGACTGTGTGTACTCATTTGCCCTCAGCTGCTGACTCCCATCCTGCCTCTGTGGGAGTGCGACAGGTCTGTTCCTGTCAGAGAGGGTGGGTGTGCCCTGGTGGTTCCCATCTCTGCAGTGCACAAATAGCTTCAGGGCCAACCCAATATCTCAATTCTGCAGTTGTGCTAAAAAGACCAGGCCTATCTTTTGTTAATTGACCACATATGGCTTGTGGGAGAGAATTTCTAGAACATACAGATATGTGGTGGGGACCAGGGCAACAAAACGGGGTTTCTCTATACATGGAAGAGGAGGGTGAGTGCCAGTGTGGACTGGCAGGGAGGCTCGAGCACTGGGGAGGTGAGTCTGAGTGCCTGGGGTGAGGACACCTCTGCAGCACAGGCTGGGGTAGCATCTGTCTCAGGTCTCACCCCCGGGGGCTGTCAAATGTCAGGACACCTAGGCAGACACCTCAGTGTCCCAGGTCACATCTCTGCAGTGCACTGCTAGCTTCAGAACCCAACAGAATGCATGTTCCCTGGGGGTGCTGTCTGCTCAGGAACTTTCTCAGGCTTCCCCTTCTGCATTTGGAGCATCTGTGCCTTCTCAGAGGTCTCGATGGGTAATCCCGTGTGGGCTGGGATGAAGACTTTAATAAATCACCCCATATAGGCTTCTCTTCCTGTCCTGCTCCTCAAGTCCTTGTTCTTAGGAGAATCTAAATTAAAATAGGTCCTCCCTGCTGGTGCAAGGGGTTAAGACGCAACCTATGAAGCTATACACAGCCACTGCAGCATGAGTTAGATCCCTGGTCAGGGAGCTACCCACATGGCCCAGCAGACCTCTTCTGACACTCCTGCTGCTCCCTTCAGCAGTGTATTTCAATAGATCTGCCTGTTCTGCTCCCCACTCTGTTTCTGGTGAATCCTCTCACCCCCTGCACCTCTGGCCTATACCCTGGTCTTGTATGCATAAATAAATAAATCTTAAAAAAAATAATAAAAAAATAAATTAAAATACAGGATCTCTTCTCTCTAGGCTTCAGCTTCCCACAAATAAAATTTGGGGGTTGGATCAGTGGTTATTTTCCAGTGAAAGAGCAGGGCTGTGGACACAACTTGCTTAAGAAGAAGCCAACACAGGAGAAAGTCAGGAGAGACGAAGAGAGGGTGATGGATTCAGAAACAGGGAGACATGGTGACAGATTTCATCCTGAGGCTGCCGAATCCCTAGGCCCGGCCCCCAGAGAAGTCTACCCACCTCTAGACTTTGTACTCTCAGAAGCCAATACATTTCCTCTTTAACTTTAAGACAGCTTGGGGGGGAAAGCCTAAGTCCATTTGTAACAACATGGAAGAAGCTGAACCACATTATGCTAAGTGAAATAAACCAGCACAGGAAAACAAATACTGCTTGATCTCACTTGTGGAATCTCAAATACAGATAAATAAAATTTAAAACAGTTGCAGCTGGGTTTCTGGGGATAAATGGTGAATTCCACCCTCTCCCCTAATCAGGACTTCATGTTTCACAGTTTCAGCTACTGTGGCCAAAGGCAGTCCAAAAAGATGGTGAATAGGAAGCCAGTTTGAGAAAGATCACATTCACGAAACTTTCATTATAGTATACTGCTAAAATTATTCTACTAGTTGTTAATCTCATCATGTGCCTATTTACTATTTTTGAATTTTTCTTTTAAATTTTATGTACAAAGAACTTTGTACTTTGTACGTTGCTTCTGCTATGAGGTAGTCGTCTTGGACAACTGATTCAAGGAAGTACATTCAGTGCAACTTAATGAAGTTTCTGTCCTTCTCGTGCTGATGGAAAACACTGGCAGCACATGTTGAGGCTGTGTTTCCAGGCTAGACTGAGGCCGCTTGAGCAGAGGAGGTAAGAGAGAAATCCCTGGCTGAATTTTCTACCACTTGTTAATCCCATACTGTACCTATTTATTATTTTTGAAGTTTGTTTTTTTTAAAAGAATTATTCATTTAATGTAATATTTTTATTTCTTTTATTTATTTATGCATACAAGAACTGGGGTGTAGGCTAGAAGTGTGGATGAGAGAGGATGCACCAGAGAGAGTGGGGAGCAGAACAGGCAGATCGACTGAAATACACTGCTGAGGGGAGCAGCGGGACAGACAGGAGAGGTCTGCTGTGCCATATGGGTCAGCTCCCTGGCCAGGGATGGAACTCAGGCTGCTTTGCTAGGGGGGTTGGGGGGTGCATGTCTGGAAGGTAGTGCTGAGACTTAACACTTAGGCCACCAGGGTGGCCCTATTTTTGAAGTTAAAAAAAAATTTTATGTACAAAGAGACTTGAAGGCCCAGCAGGTCACCTTCTACAAGTCAACATCTGGATTAGGAGACAGCAGAGTGCAGATCTCAGTCCCCAAAATGGTTGTGCTGTCAATAAAAGGCAGGGGGTTCAGCCTCCCAACAGGCCTCTTCTGTTCTCATATTGACCAAGGCTTTTATTGACTTTGGAACCTAGTTTTACACTAATTTATCATGGTCCTTGGGCTATACAGTGGCCTTCTGGATCCATCTGGCAAATCAACAGGCTGATTTACAGAGGGGGAAAAAATCCACTTCAATTGTCACCTGTGTTTTCTCTGATAAGTGCAGTGATAGAGACACTCAATGGTCTACTTGCCCCTAACAGATCCTCAGATATTTATCTGGCCACAGCCCCATGGAATAGATACCACATTTCCAAACTCCTCCAGCATATGGTCTGGCTCAGAGGTGAAGTTGTAGCCAAGGGATTTAAGGTTGTGTGTATGGTTTCTGAGAAGAATACTTAAAGGGGCATCTCCTCATTCTTCTCTTTCTTCTTCCTACTGGTTAGAATTTTGCCGATGGCAGGAAAAGAATGCAGCATCCAGGACCACATGGTGGGCCTGAGTAACAAGGCAGGGGCCTGGAGCCTCACAGCAGTGTCGTCCATGCCAGCCACAAACTGGCTGTCTCCCAGAAAAAGAAACTCCCCTCTCCTTTAAGCCATGGCAAGAGTGGGCATCTCTAACAGGTGGCAATTCTGGACTTGCAGTCTCCAGGTAAGGAAGCTAAAGTGCAAAGAGGCCAAGAGGTCCATTCAGCTGGTACTTCAGCTGAGCCTGAAGCAGAGAATCAAAAGTAAATGCTCTGGGCCTCCCTGGTGGCACAAGGGGTTAAGACACAGCCTATGAAGCTCTCTGCAGCCACTGAAGCATGAGTTTGCTCCCCCGCCAGGGAGGAGACCCACATGGCACAGCAGACCTCTCCTGTCTCACCTGCTGCTCCCCTCAGCAGTGTAGTTCAGTCAATCCACCTGTTCTACTCCCCACTCTGTCTCCGGTGAATCCTTTCACCCCCACACACCTTTGGCCTATACCCCAGTTTTTGTATGAATAAATAAATAAATCCTTAAAAAAAAAACAAAAGTAAATGCTCTGGCATTTACAGTTGTATCTCTTGACACCCCACCTTGAGTAGGATGGGTAATTCTGTTCTTTAGGCTTTGGGTGTATACCTTATAAAAATCATAAAAATTGTATAATCTCAGTTTGACTTTGTCTACAATGTTTTACTAATTGAACCCATAGTAGTGCAGTTTACTCATAAACATAAGGACCACCATCATTTTGAAAGCCCAGGTATTAAAAGAGTACTGATTCTACTTTCTTCCTTTCCAGAATATTCTCCAAATGCCTGGGACAAAAGGGGCACCATTTCTTTTTCTATTTTTAAACAAAGTGACAGCCATTCCTTTTAAATTTTAGGAAAATTTTTAGGAAAAGTTGTGGGGGGGTTGTTTTTGGGTTTTTTTAATGCGGGTGGGAAACTTAAGGAGCTGGAGTCTCAGTTGCTCCCAATTCAAAGAACCAAAGTAAATATTTAGTGAGGCCTTCAGCTACTTGAAGTGAGAATTGTGAAAGGCAGGTAGGAGCAAAGCTAAGGAAATCAGCCAAGAAGGAGTGGGAGACCCAGCTCAGACCCATCTGAGGAACATGCAGAGATTTGGCAGGTGAGAATTCAGGTCAAGATATGCTGCAAATCTGATTTCACAAAAGAAGTCAGAAAACAGGATTTTTTTTTAAGAATTCACTTTTCATTGTTGGAAACTACTCTGTTCACTATAGTTGGAATGTTAGACATGCTTGACTAAATGACCAAATGGGTGAATTATACATAACACAAATAACGACCTAATTAAAAAAGATGGGTGAAGGACTGGATTAGACATTTTTCCAAAGGAGATACATGAAAGTCCAATAAGCATGTGAAATGCAAATTAAAGCTATAATGAGATGCCACTTCACACCCACTAGGAAGACTATAATCAAAA